GCGTGTTATTTGTATGGGTATGTTACTTTATTGAGATTATTGGGTGGACACGGAAAAATCATGTCAATTTTAAATTGAGATTTCTCTAAAACCATAAATGCTTTTTATTTCCATTTTTTTTTTATTAAATGTGTTCACATCAGTTAGAGTTTCAACCTAATTTTAAGGGGCACAATGGGCTGTTTGGCAAGAGATCAAATTTTATAGCGGGTTGATGCCATCATTTTGCAGATTTTTCTATTTTGACCTTATTAGTGGCATTATTCCACTTTTTTTGGAAGTCCTTTTTATTTTTTGTTACTCAGTCTGTCTTACAAAGAACTCTTTTAACTATTGCTCAAAAATCTTCAAACTTGCGCTCTTCAGGAGGATTCGCATCTTTAGTAACAATTTTCTCATTATTATCTTTGCACCACTGTAGAACCTTTTTAGAATAGTGAAAAACAGCAAGATCTGGTCAAAAGAGTCAACGTTATTTGTGTTTTTTTATAAATAGCAAAAGTCTTTTTTGGAGGCATTCTTTGATGTAGAGACTAGCATTCAAGGTCTTTTTAGTGACAAAACAAGAGGAAAACTTGGATGCAATTTTTTCTTGTCGAATATATTTTCGACTCATAAGTGATCTCTTGGGAATTTGATTAATAGATAGATGTGAGAGATTAATTGGTGTCATAAAAGTTTAAACGAGTTTATTACAATTCAATTATTTGTTAAGTAATTAATTAATCCGTTGCGAAAATTATTTTAAAACATAAACATAAGTAGATTGAGTGGTTTTCAGTCAATAAAAATTGTCACAACATTATTCAACAGCTTCATATTCAACGAAAATCAACTGAAATCATTGCAAATTTCAAACAATTTCAAATTGCGTGCAAATGGAGCGTTTCAAGTGAGATCAAATGGCAAATTATTGGTAAGACTAAGTCAAAAATTCACAGCAACTTTCAAATAGGCAAAAAACTTGGGGTTTCTGAATCTTACGTATGAAAAACAGTCAAAACCTGGAAGCTTAACAAGGACGTCGTTGACATGCCGCGTTCCGGGAGACCATTGAAGTTTAGTGACCGTGAAAAAAGTAGCATATTCAGAAGCTGCAGAGAGAATCCTAGGCACAGCTACAAAAAGCTAGCACAAATCTTCAACGAGTCGAAAAATAAACATAATGTTAGAAAATAAACATAATGTTAAAATAATAAAAAAATAAACATAATGTTAGAAAAATAAACATAATGTATAATACATAAAAAGAAACATAATGAGCTCGTTAGGCGAACGTTGCTGCAAAAAGGTATTGGAACGTACATTGCAGCAAGAAAATCTATTTTATCAATCATGGACCGACGTAAACGGCGAATATAATTAAAAGATTAAGCTTGACTGTTGAAGACTGTTTAAAAGTTATTTGGAGTGATGAAGCTAATTTTCAAGTTGTAAACCGCAAGGGAAGACTATATGTCAAAAGATTTGCAACGGAGAAATATTCAGAACGTTTTTTGCAACCACGTCGACAAGGCGGTGGAGGTTCTATTGGTATTTGGGGATGTTTTTCTCACAAAGGTATCGGTATGTGTGAACTGTACAAAGGCCGAATAAATCAGTCCACCTACAAAAATACATTGGAAACGTGTTTAATTCCATCAATCAGACAGTTGTATGGTAGAAGCAAGCAATTTATCTTTCAACAAGACGGGGCTCCAGCTCATACAGCTAAATCAATCAAAGAATATTTTTTGCAGAAAAAGATAAATGTGATCCCTTGGTGCCTTAGATCACCAGATCTCAATCCAATTGAAAATATTTGGTCTTGGATTGACAATCAACTTACTTATTACCAAATACAATCAACTGAGCACTTAAAGCAACTTTTGAATGAGTACTGGTTAAAGGTACCTTGAGAGATGTGCATGAAATTAGTTGAATCGATGCAGAAACGAGTTTACCTTTGCTATAAAAACAAAGGCGGACATTTTAAATATTAACTTGGCATTTTATTTCCATCTTTTATTTGTTTGTAAAATTTCGTTTAAACTTTTTGTGCTACTCATTTTTCACATGTTTATGCTTGTAATTAACTTTTTTTAAATTTATATAAATCATTTCATAACAAGTTCACATATATTCTAAACCAAATTAGTTTTTATTTAACAAATAAAAAAAATTAAGTCGACATCATTTTTATTAATTTTTTTATTAAGAAAAAAATAAACCTACTTGATCAAAATTACACTTTCGTTTAAACTTTCGTGAATAGCTGTATAAGAGAGCGAAATCTTGAATTTTCTTGCTAGATCTTGTTGTGACTGCTTTGGATTTCTTGCTATTGAAAGTAAAGTCGACTTTTTCTTCCACTTCCAGGTTTTCTTTCAAAGCTTTGAGTATTCTTAAACTTGTTTATAATATCAACGACTGTAGATTTTGGGACATTTATATATTTAGCAATCAAGCGATATGAAGTTGGATTTTCGCAAAAGAAATTCGCAACATTTTTACGCACATCAATTTGTTTTCGAAACATTTTGCAAATCATTGATTTGTAAACAAAAGTTTATCAACACAACCAAAGTTAAGGAAGTAACGTTTAATAAAAAAAATAAGAAACATTTATGGTTTTAGAGAAATCTCAATTTAAAGTTGACCGTATTTTTCCGTGTTCACCCGATATAATTTCTGAATATGTTTAAATTAAAAAAATGAATTCATTTTTATCACTTTTAAAGCTTTACATTTAACGAATAACGGCTGCTTTTTAACTGTTTTGCTTTGCCCCACCTATTTGCAATAGGTTGTCATAGCTTATTTAAAGATTTTTTTTTTTCTTCCGTTTTCTTATATCGATGAATTTTAGGAAACTTATAAAAAACAGTGTTAACTATGATTAGTTTATCCACAACTATTTGTTTCTTAAGTTTCCCTATATGACCCACTCTTATATTTGAGCAAAATTGATAATATTTTGTTTTTCTAGTTAATTAAAATGTTTATGTTCCGAATCTGTTGGTAATCTGTTAATCCGTGCTTCGATCTATAAAAGGCCCGAAAGGAAACCCATAAAAAAAAAAAAAACATCTCTAAAACAAAATTTTTTTGTTTTTATTTTGTTTTCTTTTTGTTCTTTAAGAATTGAGTTTAAAAATCATTTTTTTAATAATTATAGGAAAAAAATCATTTTTTAATAATTAAGAAAAATTAAGAAAAAGAAATTTAGGCGCAGCGGCTCACCTTGTGTCTATCAAGGACCACTAGTTATTTATAAAAAATTTCGAAATAAATTTAAAATGACTGCAATTGTATTAGCAAAAAAGTTATGAGGCGGTTTTTGCATTAAAAAAAATTTCTTAGTTTATGGCAAAAAATCTGTAAAATTGAATTAACAGTAAAAAAAATTAATTTTTTTTAAATAATATAATATATAAAGGTAATATAGCTGTAACAACTGGTGTAAAACATTTGCGAAGTGCGTTAACAGCAGATATTGCACTATAACAGCTCAGTTTGTTTTTTGTTTGTTTTAACAAATCGTTGCGTTGGTTTGACAAGGCTCTAACTGACATTTTTGCCAAAATTGACTTTATCATTTTGTTAGACTTTTTAAATCATGACGAACAAAATAAACTGAAATTTACAGCGATATAGGCTAAAACAAGCAAACTGCTAATGTGCCTAAGTTCTATCTGGAATTTTAGTTAACTAATATTTAATTTGACAAGGTTCTAATTGACCCTAACTGCATACCTAACATGCTTCTCTTGCTGCAATACTCTTGCATGCTTCTCTTAACTGCAACTCTAACATGCTTCTCTTGCTGGTTTTTATTATTATGATAAAGAATTTTATGCCCATCAAAAATCATATAAAAAATAGCTCTGAAAATCAACATAAAGTGTTCTAATTTGACACCAATGTATAATACAACTAAAGCTATTATATAACATTTAAAAAAATACTATTTTTTACTTTTTGTTTTATATCGTTTACTCAAATTGACACCTGTAACAATGCGAAACAAAATACTGGTTTCGATTAGCATAGAAGTAACTATTATAAATCAAAATATAGGGGGTTTATAAGCTAAATTTTTTTATTTTTAATTTTAAAATAATTATGTTTTTGCATTAATTTGTAACTGTTTTGATATAAACTAATTTACCTGTAATTTTATTGCTGGGTGTTTAAGAAAAAATAATAATATTTAATTAATTGACAAAGTTACCGCAGTCAATGTAATTACTTTTTGTCTTGCCATTTCCTATACGGTAAGTCGATCTAACTATATTTTGCTGCGCCTACCCAAAAAAGTAAGTCAATATTTGCTCATTTTTCTTCACTAATCCAGGGCCGGGTTTAGTCCTTCGTAGCTTCCCGGCACTTTAGGCCTTCTACCTTTCAAATTTAAGAGCGGTTTAAAAAAAAAAAATCTTTGTAATCATAGTAAAATTGTTGACCAGGAAGTTGTGAAAAAAATAAATTTTGTCTGCATTTAATGCTTGCAAATGCTGATTTTAGGTCGATGGAATCAAATACCGGGTTTTCTATTTGAACGAAAGAAAACTTTAAAAGACGTTACTGAAAAAAGCTCCAAAAAGAAGACATTCGTTCAATAAGTGCACATAAAAAATACAAACATAAACATCATCAATAAAATTGGAGTTTCTGTAAATACAAACATAAGCATTATTAACTAAACTATGTTAAAGTAGTACCAGTTACTTTCACTCTGAAAGTTACAGTTAAGTAACTTCATTTACTTGCTACTAATGTGTCTGAAAAACATCTTGTATAACTCCTAAAATATCATTAGTACTTTAAAATAATTATTTAAATAAATCTTTAAGTATAAATAAGAAGGGATAAAACAAGAGAGAAGAGGGGTAAAACAGTAGAGAAAAAAGAGGGGTTAAAACAGTGGGAGAAAAAAGGAGGTAAACCAATGAAAATGGTGAATAAGAAGAACAGATAAAATTAAATGATGAAGAGTTTTTAACTTTTAACAAAAAATATTAACATTTCATATATTATTCAATTAATAAAATTCATTTTTTGAAAATGTCATACAATAATGGAAGCACTATTTTTCTAGAACAGTTTATGTTGTGAGAAAAATACGAAGCATTTTGTTTGAGATTAGCAGGAAGTTCTTTATAAACAAGCTCAAGATTCGTTTGAGTTTGCAAATACGAAGTAACTTTATTAAGATGATCTCCATTTAGGCTAAATACTAATATGTCGCGATTGATTGCAACATTATTTTCACAATGCAAAAACATGATGATGATTACATCGAGGCTTTTTATCGTCATAAAATCAATACAGGAAGCATAAAAATCAGTACGAGAAATAAAAGTTTCTGACTGTAGCATTATAGAAGATATCCCAATTTGTGGCTCTGCATTACTAACTAACTTGTAATCTTTACGGAGAATACCTCTAGTAGACATTTTAAACATTTCACTTTGGGCTAAAAGTAAAATAATTTTTGTTATCACTTTTTGACGAAAAACTTATTTAAAAAATATGCATAAAAAATGAATGTGGCTATTTATATATTATGTATGTACATGAAGTTAACTATTTATTTATATCGATTTAAGTAGGGAGAACAAGTAGGAAACTTACATATATCGACAGAGGGTTTGGGTTAAGGCAGATAATCGTAATGCAAACCCTAACACTAACTCTTTCCATAATTTATGTACATTCCCTGAATGTTCTCGCTATTTAAGTCAGTCGATGTATTTAGTGTACACATATAGACCGATTTTTAATGAGAAAAAAACTAAAATTTTTTTCTCATTCAAAAAAAAAAAATTTCTAAACATACAAAAATATGTAAAGTTTTAATGTAAAAATTAATTTCTAAATTAATATTAAACAAATGAAATAGATTATAGGTACAACCTTGATTATAATAAAATATTTACTTAATAAATATAATTATAAAAAAGAATTCTTTTAAACTTTTTTTATACTTTAAATTAAACATACCAGTTTTAAGCAATAAAAAGTAATCGTCTTTATCAAGCTCTGTGTAACCTAGTAACACCTCTGACATGAATACATCAAGCTCAGTTGTCCGCCCATTATGAAGATCAAGATTTACAGTATCATTTAGTATTCCAGCCAACAAAAATTCTGAAACTGGTTTACTCTCAAAAAATTCTCGTTTATTATAATAAATTATTTCAGCAATTAAGGTACAACAAGACCCTACCATCTTTATATTTCGTTTGGCATTTATATGATGCAATGCATCATGGTGATGGTCTAAATTAAATTTGTTCAAATTTAAACATTATTTAAACAACATTTAATTATTGTCTAAGAACTTGTTTAAATAATATTCAAAAAATATTTAATATTATTATATTTAAACATTGTTTAAACAATATTTAAACATTCTTTAAATATTTAAAAAAGAATGTTTAAAAAATATTTAAATATTGTTTAAACAATTTGTTGAATAAATCCAAAAAAAAAAAAAGTACTATGGTTTCTGAGACCCAATTTTTTGGCATAAATTAATAACTTTAATTAAAACATAAAATAACTAATGATTTTTATTTCTCATAATTTATAAACATGTACTAAAAATGATATAACTAACTTGTATATTATTAAAATATAATATTGATAAATAGTTATGTGTTATATACTGTTATATATAATTTATAACTATGTATCAATATTACAATTTTTTACTTTTGGTTCAGCCACATGAAGGTTGAAAAAAAATCTTCTTGTAATTCTTATTTTTTACATAAAAAAATGTTTTTGCTATTTTACATAACAAAATGTTTTTGCTATTTTATATAACAAAATGTTTTTGCTATTTTACATAACCAAAATGTTTTTGCTATTCACAGATTAGCCATTTACAAAAATCATACCTATATGATATATGATGATGCATTTAAAAAAACGTATTCCAGCATATAGGGGACTAAAACGATACCGTAAAGTATTAGGTTTTATGTTGAATGTTTCTGTGGTTTTAAACTCCTGTACTTTAACAAAATCATTGAGAGTATCTCAACAATCATTGAGAGCATCTCTACAAGTTGGACAAACTTGATTTGATTTTAAAAATATTGCCATCAATTGGTGTCATTTTAAAGTAAAGTTCATTTAAACTTTTATTATTAGATATAAATTGGTAACGTTTCTAACTTTCTTTTTTGTCTGTCATAACCATATCAATATGACAATAAAATGTGCTCCTTGGATATCTTTATGAATTCAAATTTTAATGGTGTAGAAAACGTAGGGAATAACGACTTCATAGATTTTTAATGCAAGTGTAAAATTTTGTATAAACTTAGTTAAAAAACTGATTATTTCGAAATTCATATAGAAATGGGAAGAACAGCTAAAAAAAAGATGATATGACAGAATAAGAAAAAACGAAAAAAATACAGAAAGGTTGAGGTATATTTACCTATTGAAGTACCCACTGAAGGATTTACCTCAGAGACAGCTTCCATCTAATGGTGATATTCTAAGATACTTCGCGAGTCACAAGTAAAATACAAACCCACTTCTACTAATGTTGGTTGTAAATTGAAATTGAATGACGAATTGACAAACAATTGAAATCAAACATTGAGAAAAATCAATAAGAATATTGGAAATGCTTTGCTTCTCAGCATGGAACGCCATACGTGGTACTTAACTCTGCAACTCTGTATTTTGTCCTTTGGGGATAAAGAAGTTCTGAAACAAAGTTAAGAATGCTGTTAGCTCTGATTGAGTTTGAATAGCCAAATGAATTTCAGCGTTGTAAACCATCAAATGTACAAATTGGAGAGACCACAGAGCTACCTGAGTTGATTTCCGAGCAAAGCTACCTTCTCTTTAAACATTTTAAAATATCAAGAGCAAGTATAAAAGAATGGCTCAATAATAATCTTAATACTATAGATGTTTTTAACCATCCTCAGTTACTAGATTTTATTACATGGATCAAAAACATATCTGTTGTAAATAATGTTGCAGAGAGAAACATTAAGCTCATTAAAGATTTTATTTCAGTTACTAGAGATGAAGATCACCTTTAAAATGTACTTTTTGTAGTTAAAAAGTCTAGAAAAAACTTGACTAAGAGTATGACTAAAAAGGAGCTTGGGAACTGTTCAAAAAGTTGTATTTTTTGAGAAATGTTTCACCACAATAAAATCTTAAATTTGCTTTAAATTTAAATTTTTTTTTTTGTATTTTCATATTTATAAATATAATCTATCAAGTTAAACAGTAGAAAATAATTGGAAATGATTTATATGCATTTAATTGTTTTGTTTTAATTTTCTAAAATGTAAAAAAATTATGTTTTCTATTAATGTTAAGCCAGCTTAACATTAAAACAATAAAACTCAGATTTTACATCTAGCACTTCCTGTCAAAATAAAACCGCCAAACTATTTTTAGTACTTATTTTGGTCACATAAAATGGGAATCAGTAGAGAGCTTTTTTTTTTTTTTTTTTGGGACACCCTATTGCACAATGATATTGGAAATGGCGATAGCATTTTGTCACAAAGCTAGCCTACATTTCCAAACCTTTTTGTAATCTTGATACAAATTATAATTTCTGATAATAGTTCCTTGTTACTGTTGGTACTGTGTTTTGATACTGTTGATTACTTAAATTGGAATCCAAGAATAACTATAATGCTTTTACAACTGTATCAATAGTTTCTTTTTTTTCTTCGTAAAAATAAAGTTTTTTAAAAATTTACGTGGCCCAAGATGGACTAGTGTTCGATTCTTTCAGAAACAAAAAAACTTTGTGTTTTTTTTGGTAATGTGAGGCCATACCTATTGCTTGCAATATCAGAAATGTTTTATGAGAGTTTCCAATTATTTGAAGATATATATTATACAAGAGTCATTTGATTTTAAAAGATTAATACAAATTTCAAATTAATTATATATTTTTAAAACATACATATTTTTACAAAAATAATTTACTTTACAGCAAATAAAAAAATTTATTTAAAAAGTAACGTATTATTATATAGTCACTGGTCACTAAACACTTACTCGCTGGTCACTAAATACTTACTTGCTGTAATCTAAGCTGCAATAAAATTATCATTTTGAGTGCATATTAAAAACAAACTAAGGTATTAATTTCATAATAGGCTATGTTTATTTACACTTTAAAGAGTTAACTTCATGATGACAAACACTCAAAAAAAAAAAAACTTTTTTATACATTAAAAAAAGTGACTTTTTTTGCCAAAAAATCTGGTCACAGAAATCATAGTGAATTGTTAAAAAAAATGTTTAAATAAACTCAAACATTGTTTGAGTATTGTTTAAGCAATTTTTAAATATTGTATAAAAATATTGTTTAAACAAATTGTTGAACAATGTTTAAATACTACTTGAACAATACTCAAACAATATTTAAACATTCCTTAAAATAATGTTTAAATAACTTTTGTATTCACTTTTGGTTTGCGCTTTGTTTCTAGAAAAAAATTAAGTAGCATGGGCTGATCCAGACAAACAAGTATAGAGGGGGAACTATTTTAGGTTTTTTTTAAGTTTGGTGGATCCTGACCATCTATTATGGTTATGACAATTTTTATATTATAGGATTTGTAAGACAAGCCCACAAATTTTACTAAAATTTCATATCATTTTGAAACAATTTGCCTATTAGATCTAATTTACTTCCTTATTTTTCAAACAACACGGTGAGTTAAATATATATATATATATATAAAAATCCCCCTCTTTTGAATCCACCCTTGTTTTGTAGAAAAACTGAAGATACCTATTATATCAACAACTTTATTTTCTATATTCTGCAACAATGTTTCGTAGTTATGATCAACCAAAGTAAGTTTAAAAATATTCAAACTATTAATGCAAATATCATCAATGAATACCATATTTTCAGTAGTTATATCAAATTTCTTGCACAAAGCTGAAGCTTCAAAACATAATTCAAAATCTTCACGATACATAGGTAACAATGCCACAAAACTTTCCTCCTTATAACAAAATAATAAAACTTATACTAATATACTTGTCAGATCACTCATAATCTTTAGCTACCAGATTACTTATACTCTTTCGTTACCAGATCACTCACACTCTTTAGTTACCAGATCACTCTTACTTTTTACCTACCAGATCACTTACAATCTTTATTTACCTTATTAAAAAATTTTATTTTAAAAATTACTACACTACAGCAATTTTCATTTTGAAATTTTTAAGAAAAAAAAATTGAACTAAACATCTTTTTTGTTATAACCTATAGCCTTGAAAAAAAATTGAACTAAAAACCTTTTTTGTTATAACCTTATATACCATAGCGTAAGAAGTACATTTATAACTATAAGGAAAGTCTTCATTAGTCATTAAAGTAAAAAATAAAAAAATTTACTAAATATAAAATAAAACAACAGCAATAGAATGAGTTCAAAACAAAACAAAGAAGAAGCATAAAAGCATGTCAAATGGGCAACAAAGAAAATGTCTGCACTTTTTATTCCACACATACTGAATTTCAGTTTCTGCAGAATAAAAAGTCATACTTTACTTTTATGCATGGTTTGTTTATTTACTTTTACGCATAATTTATATGATTTTAAGGCAGGTTATAGGCAGCGAGCAGGTGTATAAACATGGTATACAACATTTTTTGTTATGTATTGGTTTGATAAAGAGCAGATGGTTTTTATTAAGATAATTTATGAAGGTTAATGTAGTAATAATGTAGTGATAGAACCCTTGCTTCATAAGCAAGAAGTTCCAAGTTTGATTCTTACCATGACTATGGTAGTACTGCGCTCAATTTGTTTCTCTGCGCAGCAAACTTGTTTGTCAAAGTTTGAGTTTTAAAGTTATAGAGTTGAGAAAGGGTTATAACCACAATTAAGTAGCCTCATTGTCTGCAGTGGCCTTCTCAGCCTTAGGAAGGTGAATGAACAACAACAAAAAAAAATAGTACAACCAATGTTAAATTAATGTGACATTTGACATACATCTGCAACATACTTTTACTGTGTTTCTGCTGAGAACCTTATGAATCTTGTAATTAATAGAAAATCCTTTATTAATTAAGGTTGAAAAACTTTTACCTATATTTGTTTTTAAATTTTTACTAAAAGAGGTTGGAACCAAATATTGAATTGTTGCAAAATCTAAAAAAGGGTTAAAAAATATGTTTATAATTTTTGGTATTTAAATTAGGATAGTAAAAAAGTTTGAAAATAAAACTTGACTACAAAAATTTTTGGCTGAAGAAAACTGGCCTGCCTATGGACAAAGAAATCATTCAGCAGCTTCAAAAATATTTCATGAGTGGGGTAAAAAAATTTCAGTTTCTCTTATCAGTTTCTGATCGAATAAATAATAGAACGAAGAAAAAAAGTGCGAGCGCTTGCAACTGTTAGAGTCAGAAAAAGTAAATGCAGAATTAATAAATCAGTGAAAAAATGACATTGCACAAACAAGCTCTTTAGTCAATTAATCATGCACAAATCATTGGATTTAAGTTCAAAAGTCAGGACAACAAACCAAAAAACTGAGAGATCAACTTATAGTAACAAATTCTACTATAAACGAGTTAAATGAATGTAAAAAGAGAGCTTAAAATATCATTATTTATGGAGTGTCAGAATCCAATAAAGTTTCTTTAGATAATAAAGTAGCTGAAAATAAAGCAAAAATCTTGGAAATATTTACAGAAATTGGAGTTCAAGACATAAGTTTTGAGAATGTGAGACAATTAAGAAATAAAATTTCTAACGAGTTAGGCCCATTGTTGGTTTACAATCTTTGAAACAAAATACTAATTTCATCAAAAAAATTAAAATTGCTTCTAAGTTTTAAAAATATCTATATATCTCTAGATTTAACAGAGGCTGAATGGCAACAGGATTTTATACTCAGAAAAGAGCAAAATAAATTGAATAATGCCCTTAAGGAGAGCTAATCGTCTGTTATCTATAAGTAGTATTGAAAAAATAAGTTGCATGTACCTTGATACTACATCTGTTGACATAAAATTTGACGAATTTAAACTAGTAGTTGCAACTTACAATCCTAAAATAGTTACTGAAACATGGTTTAAATCTACTTCTCTCTGCAAATTGGATGGTTATTGTTTATATAAAAAAGATATATTTATATTGACATTACTTCATATGAATTACTTCAAAATTACTTCATATGAACTTTACAATAACAGATTTACATAGAGTAAAATAGAGCATGTCTGGGCTGTTATCCAGTTTGGCAATGATAAATATCTTATCGGATGTATTTATAGACCTTATGACTTCACGGATATAATAGATATTGAAAATGTATTTAAAATTGTTAAAGAATATGTTAACCAAAAAAACTATAAATGTTTTATCATAGTTGGTAATTTTAATTTTCCTGGGATAAGTTGGTACAATGGTTCAATAAATTCGATTAAAGAATTGTCAAAAATTTAACATGTTTTTATAAAATATTTGGTATGTTAACATGTTGATATAAGTAATTTTATAAAAATTACTTATATCAACATGTTAACATACCAACAATTTAAACAATAAATAAATCTGCTGTAAATATTTTAGATTTAATATTCACTACTCAGTCAGCAAATTGCCGTTGATAGCAAAGTGCCGTTGATAGTAAATTTGTTTTAGAAAACATATCCAGGGGTCATTTGATATTGTGTTTTGATATTATTCTTAAAAATAAAACAATGAATAAAAATACAGGGGAAAGTAAATTTTTATATAGAAAAGCAGATTACAATAGCATTGATGATTTGCTCACAAGCATCAATTGGCTTAAGTGTTTTGATACCAAGAATGTTTAAAAAATGTATGATGAGTGAATTCATTATACTAAAGAAGTGTGAAACTTATATGTTCCTTTAAATATCTCTAATTCATCAAAGAAACTATACCTGAAAAAAGAACCTACCTCATTGTTCTAGGAAATGGAAAAATTCAAATCTTTGTAACCAATATAAACAATTATCAATAAGAGTGTCATTTGAAATTTCTATTTCAAAACGAAAATACGAATCAATGATTGTGGAAAAAGCTAAAAAGAACCCAAAAGTACATAAATATATGAATTCACAACAATATGTAAAAGACTATATAAAAGCTCTACGACAACTAAACCGTGAAATAATCCAGGATCCAGAAAAGATTGCTGATCTACTAAATATAAATTTCAAAACATTTTTGTCAAAGAAAATAAAAAGTGCATCCCATTATTCAAAACAAGAACCAATAATACCTCCTTTAATTTAACTCATGAAGATATTTTTTATATAATTTAAGTATGAAGATGTTTTTGATCAAAACAAAGCATATCTTAAAAAATTAAATCAATAGAAAAAGTCAACTTACAAATCAATTAAATTCAGCAAACATAACTACACTATATAAAAAAGATGACAAGACTGATTCTGGAAATTATAGAACTACATCACTTTCATGTGTTACTTTTAAACTACAAGGCATAATTAAAAATAAGTTTGAAAAATATCTTTATGAAAATAATATTATAGCTATTATAACCAACAGCATGGATTCATTTAAAAAAGGTACTACAAATATACTTAAAACTCTGGATTATATTACAAGAAATGTTGATCAAGGAATTTCTGTGGATGTAGTTTTACTTGACTTTAAAAAAGCATCTGATACTGTGCCACATCAAAGGCTTATCTTAAAACTTGAAGTGCATGGTGTTAGTGGCTTAGCACTTCATTTGTTTCAATCTTTCTTATAAGGCAGAGAATTATTATGGGAGATTATGTTTCAACTTGGGAAAGGGATTTAGGAATGATTTTTTCAGATAACTTGAAGTGGAAAAATCAAGTCTTATCGAGTGCAAGCAAAGCAAACCGCATGTTGAGCATAATTAAGAAATCTTTTGTTCAATTTAATGCAGAACTGTTAAAATCTCTTTCTTTTGTTTGACCACTTCTAAAGTTTTTTATACCAATATGGGCTCCTTATCAAAAACAAGATATTGCCATTTTAGAAAGAATAAAACATTGTGCCACAATGTTGATTTCTTTCTAAATCATCACAAGACTCAGCTGTCATAGTGTGCTTTAAACCATCACAAGACTCAGTTGTCATAGTGTGCTTTAAAAAACATTATATATATATATATATATATATATATATATATATATATATATATATATATATATATATATATATATATATATATATATATATATATATATATATATATATATATATATATGTATACAAGGCCATATTTGTGTAATTAATCACAAAAAAAATCATAAGTACCAATTAATAACATCATATTGAAAGAAATTTCAATAATATGCAGAAGGATTAGGAGAGTTGGAGGTTAAGGCATCTTTTTTTTTTTTTATTTTTATTTTTTACTTCACCTCCTCAAGGCCGAGAAGGCCACTACAGACAAGGAGGCTACTTATTTTGTGGCTATAACCCTCTCTCAACTCTATAACTCCGAAACACGAACCTTGACGAACAAGGCCGCTGCGCGGAGAAATGAGTTGAGCGCGGTACTACCAGGGACGTGGTGGGGATCGAACTCGGAACCACTCGTTTATGAAGCTAGCGCTCTACCACTACACCACTACCGCAATACCGCATCTGATTGTTAGTTGAGTTTGAGCTGTTTTCCAGTGCCTATCAAACAAAGCCTTCCATTTATCATGAGAGGAATGTTACAGAGGAAAAAAAAAATAAAGTGAGACTAACAGGTACAACAACAGAAAAATTACCTATACTTATTAGCAAATCTAAAACCCACGATGCTATAAGCATATTAAATCACTCCATAGCACATACTGGAATCAGCTAAAAAGTTAGATGACCAGAGACTGTTTTACAAAATGGGTAAAGAAGCTAGCCTCTTTTTTTAAACTCAGGACAGGAAAGTAGCACTCCTGGTGGATAACAGTCCTGTCTATCCACAGATTAGGGGCTAAGCAACATTAATATTATATTTTTTCCTCCTAATACCACATCTGCCCTCTGACCATGGATCAAGACATAATACAAAGCAAAATGAAGTATTAAAGTGATAACATTGCAAATTTGAGCGTGTATAAAGGTTGTCAATAATAGAAAAAATTCAAAAATCTCCTAACCAGTAAAAAATCTTATTTTGAAAAGAGGGATGAAATGATTGATGAATTGATGAAATTGAAGATGTTGACAAGATTAAAGTGTTAACAATAGAAAATAAATATAGACATTATTTATAGATGTTAAATCCCCACAACATCTGATGCTCAATTAGAATGATGCTTTTGAAGATCAATAAGAAGATGCTTTTGAAATACTTTGCTGTACAGCCCCAAAACATTTGGATCAATATTGCTTTACTTAATTTTAATTTTGATCTTCTATACATCTTTTCAAACTAATCTAAAAAATCTTTTAATTGCTCACATTAAAAATATTTGATATTAATATAAATATATTATTTTATAGACATTTTTATTATGTTTTATTACCTATAATAAAAAGCAATGTGTATACATATTTTACTTTATTATGTTACATTTAAAGATATTTTAAAACTTATTAATTTGTCTACACTAGTATAAGGTTATTATTTTGTCTACACTAGCATATAGTTCTTACAACAACAATCATAATGATCTTTTATCTGATACTTTCAATGTTATTAGTATTTGTTTATGTTATAAATTGCATTAATTTTAATTACTTTTATTAAACTGTAAAAAAAAAAAAAAAAAAAAAAAAAAGCAGTTATCAAATATAAACTAAACAGTTAAAAAAAAAAAAAATACAGAAATGAAATATGATCCCTAGCACAAAATGAAGTATCTAATGAGGATAGAAAAGACGGATTTGAAGCAATGCTAGGTTTCAAAATTTTTCCAAAAACTTTAGCTCTTGCTGTTACTAGTTATTTTTAGTAAAAGTCTGGTAATTTTAATTATTTGTTTTTTTTTAAACATTTTGAATTTAGCATTAAGGTACTTGTCACTTTTGCAGGTAGTGTAAATGTCTTCCATTATTTTGACTGCTCTTTCAGCCACAATGTTTGATTGTGGAATGTCAATGAGTGAAGGCTGATTTACCCAATGTGTTTGGAAACACTTTGTTGCTTTTTGGCAATCAAATTCTGAAACAGCAGAATGCAATTCTTCAAGACTGTGTTCAGTGAAATGCTGATTAGAGAACCACGCTGATGCCCATATAGTTGATATAAAGTTGCAGATACTGCTCAGCTGTTGACGATGTTCTTCCAGAAGAAAATAAGCATATGTTGCTCTAGAGTTTCATCTCGCATAATAAAGTGAAGGAAGTTTTTGCCACTTGATTTTTGGAAAGTTAGTGCATTTCTTGTACACTTTGTAAGCCTTGCAAAGTTCGAATAGAAACTTGAAATCATTCCTCCATCCAGCATTTTCAGAAGCAGGTACTTCGGCTTCACCTGTATATTTTGTCTGAAGGTTCTCATACTGATTACAAATGTTATTAACAAACTTATAGTTTATATCTGGTTTCTTTGAGACTGTTGGAACACAAAAGTCAAATAAATGTCGAAAAACCTAGTCGAGTATGTGGTGTTGACACCCAATGTACTGTGGTCTAATAATACATTTTCTTTCAAATTATTTATAAAACCGAGCAATTATTCCATTTCTGCTACCAGTGTTGACTGCTGTTATATCGCACACAATCATTTTAATACTCTTCCATGCATCGAAGTCATCTAATAAAACATGTTTGCAGCCAAACCAGATTCACATATGATGATACCTAAATTCGATTTCCTTGAAGGACTTTGCAAGCAAACAACATCAGTTTCTTTCCATCAAAATGCAAACAGAAATCATTTTCCTGCTGAAGAATGTGTTTTATTTCAGCAACCTTTCTAATTTCAGAATTGATTGTCTTGTAGATAGAGAATATTTGGTAACCAAATTTGCAGTAGCCTTGGTTTTTTGATATTTTTTCCTCTTTGTTTCCACTTCAGGTATAAAATCATTACCAGGTGATACTTCAGCATCAGTTTCTTGCACAGATTCATCTGAAGTTACCATGACTTGTTTCTCAACTGAAGATTGCATAATTTTTCAACATAAACAGATGAATTGTTGAGACTGTTGCAAGCTCCACAGTTGTGTATCCAACAGTACCATGAAATTCAATCTGCTGTAGGTAAAGTTGTTTGTCTTAAGCGGACAAACAATTTCCATCAGTTTTGGTTATATCAAAGAGGCTTGCTAATTCCTCCAGAAATCTCTTACCCTTTTTCTTTCTGTATCTCACATATGCATCAATTAGGTTTGCAATTTTTGGGTGGACACGTTGCATAGATACAACATGAAAATTAAATTTATCCCAAAGTAAATTCAATTCCTTTGCTATAGTTTCTATTCTTATTTTCTTCTCCTTCATTTTATAATGTAACCCCAAATAACGCTCAATAATGTTCCTGTTAAGAGGCATTTTGCAAAATTCATTTAATTCAGTAACTTGTAAAGATATTTTTAAACGCCTGAAAACTTTGCTTTTTATATTCTGATGCCATACATTGGAGCTTTTATTAACTAGGTTACGAGATAGTTTAGACATATCTTTGATGAACTAAATGAAATCTAAACTTTTTCTGTCAGAATAGCTTCTACAATAAAACAACAAAGCAATTAGTCAAAAGCAGATGAGAAAAATCAAAGCTTATAAAGTCAAACTACTAGAAACTCTACTTTTAATATGAAATTTTGAAAGTGTAATTCTATTGGTTAAAGGCAGATAGTTAAAACTATATTTAGCTTTAATTAGCAATAAGAAGCTAACATTTAAGGTATAAAACATTGCCTACATTTAGCGCAATATAATTATATAACGCCATTTGTTTAAAGTTTTATATTGAATAGTGACAACACCAAAAGATGCTTATGGAGGCGCCACCTTTATTCATAATTTTTCACTAAAGGAATAATAAATGCAATCTACATGTAAAAGTTGATCTACTGAAACCCCAGGAAATCAATTTTTAGTCATATGCCTACTGTATATACATAAAGATAGAACCTGATAAAATACTGATTTAAGGAGCTGTGAAGGTTACAGTACATACATTGACTTATATATAAAAAACATTGAAGAGAGTTGCTGTTACATGGCAAAAAAAAGTTAGCAAATACAAATCTATGTGTTATAGTATATATATATTTATATTTATACATATATACAAATATATATATATATATATATATATATATATATATATATATATATATATATATATATATATATATATATATATATATATATAGATATAGATAAATATATATATATAGAATATATATATATATAAAAATATATATATAGAATATATATATATATATATAGATATAGATATACATATATATGCATAATAAATGCAAAACAGAATGTTACATACATTTGGATCGGATGACATGTAGTATGCATAAACCAAAGAACATACAATAGAATCCAGGTCAGCAGATTCATTGCCTACCACAAAGTGTAAATTCGCATCTTTGGAAATGTTCAGCTATTTCGTAAATAGACAATCATCATCATTATCATCATCACCATTATCATCATCATCATCATCATCATCATCATCATCATCATCATCATCATCATCATCATCATCATCATCATCATCATCATCATCATCATCATCATCATCATCATCATCATCATCATCATCATTATAGTATATAAACAACTAACCTTTGATGATTTAAGGAAGTCTAAAAAACCAGATGGTTGTAACATTTTAACTTTTATTAAATATTTATTGAATTAATTTTTTACTTAATACCTAAAATAAAAAGAAAAAAGAAAAATTAGAATTTTTTAATTTTTATTTATTGTTTTTATCATATTATATCTATTTTATTTTAGTAGCTTTAAATTGAAAATTATGAAAAGCCAAATTATAATTTATAAGATGCCAATCAATGAATAATAGTTTCATGAAAACTTTTTTGTTAAAGAATAAAGCCTAATTAAATAACTATACAGGTTTTTAATACACTTTTTAAAATTTTTTTTTAAATTTTCTTCTTTATAATTTGTTAACCTGAATAACTCGCTTTTTTATCCTTTATTCTTTGTTATGATAAACAGAAAATTTAGAAAAGTTTGAAATTCAAATACAAAAACATAAGGGACAAGAGTTTAATAAAAAATTCTAGATTTGTTTTATATATTTCACTACTTAAAAATGTAAAAGTTAAAAACATTATTAGCGAACATATCTGTCTCTTCTGCATTTTCCCTCCTCTCTCTGTTTTTTCCATGTTTCTTCAGTTAAAGACATTGTCCACTGAAAACAGTTTTGACACAGTTTACCCATTAACTTTTTATTTCCACAGACAACACAATCTTCTATATCATCCCGAAGTTTCAACTCCCTAAATTTGCGTAAATATCGACGTTTTGATATTGAACGCCTTTTTTTAGGTGCAGCCCATAAAAAACCGTTCCAAATATTTTCTAACAGGCTATCTAGATTTTCTTTCAAGAGTTCAAAACTGGTTGGAGCAACAAGTGACATTGATTTTTTTTGCATCATACAAGAATAAGATACTTTATTTAGTCTTTTAAACATCGAAAACATGATTGAAGCCATTTTTTTAAAAAATAACAAAGTAGCAAATGAGTTAATAAATAGAGCTAAAATAAAAAAACTTGTGACAAAAAACTGTGAATAACAACAATTCATATACAAAGTTTATGACTTTTTTAAAAAACTAGAAAAATGAAACTTATTTTTTTAACAAATTAAAAAAAAGAAGAAGCAATACACAGCTATATAGATTAATAGTATATTATTATAGTTAAAAAATATATATATATATATATATATATATATATGTATATATATATATATATATATAAATATATATATATAAATATAAATTATATATATATATATATATATATATATATATATATATATATATATATATATATATATATATAATATATATATATATCGAGTTCGATCCCCACCACGTCCCTGGTAGTACCGCGCTCAACTCGTTTCTCTGCGCAGCGGCCTTGTTCGTCAAGGTTCGTGTTTCGGAGTTATAGAGTTGAGAGAGGGTTATAGCCACAAAATAAGTAGCCTCCTCGTCTGTAGTGGCCTTCTCGGCCTTGAGGAGGTGAAGTAAAATAAAAAAAATATACATATATATATATATATATATAATATATATATGTATATATATAATTTATATATATATATATATATAATTTATATATATATATATATATATATATATATATATATATATATATATATATATATATATATATATATATATAAATTATATATATATAAAAATTAATATATATATATATATATATATATATATATATATATATATATATAAATTATATATATATAAAAATTATATATATATATATATATATAAATTATATATATATAAAAATTATATATATATATATATATATATTATATATATATATATATATATATATATATATATATATATATATATATATATATATATATTATATTATATATATATATATATATATATATATATATAAAATATATATATATATATAATATATATATATATATAATATATATATATATATATATATATATATATATATATATATATATATAATATATATATATATATATATATATATATCATATAATGTGTTTATATCATATATTGTATTTATATTATATTATAAAATGCCTTTCTTTTAAATGCTCATGTTTAAAAGTTATAGTATTGAGAAAAGGGTTGAAAAGCCTTAAATCTTATATGGCAAAAAATGTAATTTGTGCAAAAATCTTTGCAATGACCGCCTATTCATTGCCAACTGCTGAGAATGTTGCTTTGTAGAAGTTTTCCTCAATACTTGGTTACACCCAAGCAATTCTCACATAATTTTGAATTGCACGAGGTCTTCCAAAATGAGGAAGATAACTGACATTTCCTTGTTGCTGAAAACACTGAACCAATCAGTAAATTGTTTGAGTGCTAGGTGCATTTGGAACATGAAAAAAATTTCGATATGATCTTTTTGTCTGACTTTCAAAATTAAATTTAACAACTTTGCTTCATTTTTTTGTGCTGAGTCGTTCCATCATAAATTTCCCAAGATTTTTAAAGTTAACTCTAAAAAAAACGAAAGAGAAAATAAAAAAAATACGTAGTTAAAGCAAAAACACAAAAAAATAAATATATATATAACGCAACTGAAACAAAACTAATCAAACTAAAATGCTTAGTCTATTTAACTTATGCATTAAAAAACCATTTCAATCTTTGTTTTAACATTTGTATATATTTTTTATTTATTTAATATGTTCAAAAGTTAAACATTTCTCATAAAAAATACATAGTTATATAAATAAAATAAAAAAACATTTTATTAATACTTTTTTTTAAATTAATTAGAAGTGTTTTTTTTACTTCATTAAAAGCCTTTCGATAATATAAAAGCATTTAAGATTTATTTAAAACTTAATAAATTGTAACAACTATCTGAAACTTTTTTTTTTTAACGAAATTTTGTTTATCTTTTTAAATGCATTAACTTTAATCATTCTTCCTTTTAATCTTATTTTAACTTTTAATTTTATTAACTTTAATCATTTAAATTCCTTAAAGAGACTTTCGTAATCATAGAATGTCACATTTATAAAAACAAAACAATTTTTTATTTTTTAGCAAAGTTTATTTTAGAAATGAACACTTAAACAATTTATATGTTTTAAATTAAAAAAATATATAAAACTGTCAATTATATTTAAAAAACAAAACTTTTTTCAGTAAATTGTTACTTTATTTAAAATGGTTTCGCTAATATAAAAACATTTGTTAAGAAGTTTTGATGTAAGTGATTTCACTTTTTTAGAATATTTTTTTAATTTTTTATTTAGCGCGTTTTTAAAATGTTTTTTAAATAAGCTGCGGTCAAACCGTCATAGCAAAATGTAACTTGCGTGGTTATATAAAGACATGAAATCGCACGCCTTCCTGTGAAAGCTTGACAAGGTATACATATATAATTTACATATACACACACAAATATGGCAACAATCTCTAACACCTTTTGAGTTATAGGTACTTAATTCAGTTTCTCCAATTTTCTCAAAAACCCTTTTATACTTTAGTTCAGTAGTTTCTTCAAGTTAATATTTTTTTCTTAATAGCTTTTCAACCCTTTTCTCAATACTATAACTTTTAAGCATGAGTCTTTAAAAGAAAGGTTACTGTGTGGAGATATATTTTAATATCGTGTGAACATGGAAAAATCGGATCAAATTTAATTTGACATTTCTCTATAACCATAAATGCTTTTTATTTCAATTTTTTTCATGATTTTACATGTATTTACATCAATAAGAGTTTCAATTTAATTTTAAAGGGCTTGATGAGCTGTTTGGCAAGTGATCAAATTTTATAGCAGGTTGATGCTATCATTTCACAGATTTTTTCTTTTTTCACCTTATTGGTGGCATTAATCCACTTTTCATGAAAGTCCTTTTTATTTTTTGTTTCTCCACCTGCCTTACAAAGAATTCTTTTAACTATTGTCCAAAAATCTTCAACCTAGCCCTCTTTAGGACGATTTAAAGGATTTGCATCTTTATTAACAATTTTCACAATATTACCTTTGCACTACAGTAGAACTTTTTTAAAATAGTGAAAAGTAATTAATGATCAAGCCAAAAGAGACAACAGCATTTGTATTTTTTCATAAACAGCAAATCTTTTTTGGAGGCATTCTTTGATGTAGAGATGGACTGTAGAAGAGGACTGCATACCACAGCTACAAATTGCTTGCAACAAAAGTAACTTGGATGCAAAATTTTCTCGTTGAATATATTTAAATTGAACACCGACAGGCTTATCTTTGTTCTCATAGTAAAAATGTTGACCAGGAAGTTGTAAAAAATTTTCCTTGCAATATGTTTTGTCGTCTTGCACATACTTTTATCCACCATTATTTTAACCATTTTATTTTAACACTTTTATCCACCATTATTTTAACCAACTTTTTTGTGCGTTGAATTCTCTTAATTTCACCATTTAAGCTTCTCTTAGGTGCACTTTTCTTATGAAAAAATTCTGGTTTGGATTTCTTACTATTGAACTGAGAATCGACTTTACCTTTTTGGATTTACGGAAAGTTTCTTTCTTCCGCTTCCAGGTTTTCTTTTAAAGCTTTGAATAGTCTTAAACTTATTTGTAATATCAATGACTGTAGATTTTGGGATATTTGTAAGTTTAGCAATCAAGCAATATGAAATCGAAGGATTTTTGCAAAAGAAACTCACTTTTTTTATGCACCTCAATTTGTTTCCAAAACATTTTGCAAATAAATGATTTGTAAACAAAAGTTTACTAACACAATTAAAGATAAAGAATTAACGTTTAATTAAAAAAATAAAATTAAAAACATTTATGATTTTAGAGAAATCTTTATTTAAAGTTGACCGGATTTTTCCATGTCCAACCGATATATGCTATCTGAAATTTATATAGTTGATAAATATGCATTAATATTATATATGTATATATATATATATATATATATATATATATATATATATATATATATATATATATATATATATATATATATATATATATATATATATATATATATATATATATATATATGTATATTATAATTATTCTATAGATATTATTAGAACTTTATATCAATAAAAATATAATTTTATTAGTTTTAAAAAATATTTAATTGCGTCTTTCTAAGGGTAGTCAGATTTGAAATGAAATTGTTTATAAAAACAATTTCATTTGATTGTTTATAAAAACAATTTGTATTATGAGATAAACTTTATTTTTTTATATAAAAATATGATCAAAACCTTTTTTAAGAAATGATGGTAGAAAACACAAAAACATGAGTTGTTCATATATTCTTTTATATAAAAGTATTTACACTTATTTCAGAACATTAACTTTTAAAAAAAAACTACAAAAATTTCAATCAACAACATGACATGCAGTTCTATCTTTTAAATTAAGCAAAAAAAAAAAAAAAAAAATCATTAAATGTTAGTGTATAATAAAAAATAATAAAAATTAAAAAAATACAACAATTAACTAAATCATACTAAACATTTTTTAAGTTAAAACTTAACAACATTTTATTGGAAATATGTACAGGATAAACTAATTTCTAACAGCAGCTGCCAATTTTGTACTGATGATTTCATTCTTTTTACATTCCTTGAATAACAAATATAAAAAAATGCAAAATCACATTCAGCATATGTATATAGCTAAGTGTAAGACAAATACAATGAGCATAAAATACATAAATATTTATTCACACATATATAGATATAAAATTAGTGCATAAATGATTGATATTACTGAAATAATAAGATAAACAACTACTTACTTCTTGAAAATCACGTACTGTATTAAAGTACAGACGTTGCTTCTCTACCATTTTTGTACATTGATCATTTAATTTATCTTTCTTTTCCTTCTCTAGCAGACGACGCTTTTCAACCTTTGGATTACAATCAATGGCATTTAAGTAATGAATATTTTAATGTCAAAATATAATTTATTGAGTAATTTCTATTACTAAATAAAATGAAAATTATATTTAAATAATTAAAATATTTATAATTACTATTTATTGTTTGCATGTTTGCACACAATGAAAGTAAATAAAACAAAACAAAAATAAACAACCAAGACAGCAATATAGAACACCATAGTTACATAGTCACCAGAAAAGCTAAAATTTGTTGTTGTTGGGTTTTGTTATCCCTATTTTTAGGGATCATAAACCAATCGTTAAATCCACTAACAGTTCTTTTATTAATACAGCTATAAACTTTAATAATACAGTTATACACAATAAAAACTGGTTTAAATTGTTTTCAGTCAGGGATCATTAATTTACACTACATCTTCTTTAACTTTAAAACTTTCTTTATTATTGTTTCTGAGTTATTTCTTGTTATACCTTATATCTTGAGTTATGTCTTGTTATATCTTATATCTTGAGTTATGTCTTGGGTGATTTGTAAGGTCAAAGACTCTTTATCTATAAGTAATTGATTATTTATTACCTAACTGAAATTTGACTTTACATTATCGTGGATCAGACACAAATCCTTTCATACCAACTGAAACATGTCACTACAGCTTTGGACATTATTTTGCAACCCTTTTGATTTTTTTTAGTCAAAATAAAATTTGTTTGATCTCACCCTACTTATTATATATACATATGTCCAATTTACATATACACATAATAAAACAATGTTTTTATTATGTGTATATGTACTATTACTGACATTTATTTTTAATACGGTTAAATATAAATATGTAAATAGATTCTATATATGTTTTGTAACTGCAAACAGTAGCGCCAATTACATTTTTTGGTCTTTGAGATAGCTAACTTTCAGACATAGAGCAAACTCCAAACATTTATATGTTTATACTTATGTCAAATAAGGATGCTTTGCAAAAAATTGTGATGATTGGAGCTTGGGAACAAAAAAGCCCTATAATTTTGGCCCCCCTGCCTCAAATGTGAAAGCAACAACTTGATGAACTATCAATTATTTTATAGTTTTGCACAATCAATTATTTAACTAGACTTATATTCATCAATAAATTTTAAGTTTCATATTATTATCTCTCAGCGTTCAAAAAGAATGACCATTTAAATCTGCAACCGCCTTAAATTGAGGGGGGTTTAAACTTTATTAGTCTAGTTGAATAATTGATAGTGCAAAAAATATTTCATCAACTTGTTGCTTTCTTGTTTGGGTCAGGGGGGCCAAAATTATAGGACTTTTTTGTTCCCAAGCTCCAATCATCACAATTTTTTGCAAAGCATCCTTATTTGACATTAGTATAAACATATAAATGTTTGGAGTTTGCTCCATGTCTGGAAGTTAGCTATCTCAAAGACCAAAAAATGCAATTGGCGCCATTGACTGGAAACAAAAATAAAGATAGTTGTTGTAACTGCAAACAAAAATAAGGATAGTTGTTGTAATTTGTTTATAACATATATAAAATCTTTTTCTATAGTGTACTATAGAATAAGATTCTATATATGTTAACATTGATAAGATGCTATACATGTTAATATTATACCCTGTATTTAATGATATTTAGTGTATTAATTTCCTGCCTTCAAATTTATATAATTGTTTACATTATATGTGTTACAGATTGGTACAGGGAAAAAAAGAGACATGAAATTTGAGTTCTCGTGAGTTGAGATCTCATGAGTTCAGCTACAACTGACAGACCTCTCAACTTCTGCATTGTTGATTTCATAAAATGAAATTCAGATATTATTGTGCCTCAAATCATAAACCCAGATATTCTTTTTTTCAAATCACATATCAGAGAAAGCATCACCAAACCCTTTCCACTGTTTACAGTGAGGATTTTGCCTCTGCAATGATGAGGCTGGCTTTTTCGAGGCTGATGGTATTGCTGTATACAAAACTAAGCAAATGACAAAAAAAATTACAAAATTTTCTTTGCCTCTAGGACATCTGTAACACGAACAACAATAACAGAAATGAACTCATTTCTCTGTGAAGAATGTTAAGTAGAAGCAGAATGTCACTCAAAAGCATAATACTTAATGCTCATCTTAAAAAATTCAAGAAAAGCATGTTACATAGAAGCAGGGTGAGCACTTTTATCAAGATATATTGGTCTTTGAACAGTCAATTAAAATAAGTTTGATAAAAACATGATAAATTTGGGTTTACATTTGGAAGCTACTTCATAAGTACTTAATTTAAATATATCTAAAGATATTTGAATATATTAATTTTAATTAAACTTCACTTTAGAAAAAATTAAAGCCTTGAAGTTAAATAATCCAAATTAAACTATACATTTCATATGAATTTAAGATAACTTTATAATAGAAAGCCTTTTCAGGAATAAAGAAGCTGGTATAGGTTATACAGCATGTAATAGTTAAAAAACGAAGCGCAGATACTATTTAATCTAGATTTGTTGTGTAATTCTTTAACTGATTTTGTTTTTTTTTTTTAAGGTTCTTGTATATTACAGCAACAAAGTTTGATACAAGTCAATGAATCAATATGTATAAGTAATAAAAAAAAACTCAACTTTTTCCTTATTAAGTTGTACTCCTTCCATTATTTTAGCCAACTGTGTGAGAAACTCATCCTTAGAAGATGCAGATTGCAACATAGCACTGAAAAAATTTATTGCATATTTAATAAAAAACAAGAAAATATCAGAATATAAATTATATACAATTTATATTACTGTATGTATATTACTGTGCATTATTTATATATTGTATAAAGATAGAATTCAATATATACAGCTTTATGTAAATACATACTTATATTTGAATGAATATATATATATATATATATATATATATATATATATATATATATATATATATATATATATATATATATATATATATATATATATA